GGATTGAAATGGATGTGCTGGGAAACTTGGAAGTTCGGTGAGTTACGAATCATATCTTTAAGAAAACTTGAACAATCTTTAACATTGTTTCCAAAGCGGATCATTGATTTGGAGCCTGTAAAGTTATCTTGTCTTGAAAAACAAAAACAAGTTCTGCATCAGTATCATAGCTAGCTAACGTTACCTAGCATTGAGCAGAAAACACTCTCGTGTATACAGCGCACACTGGAAATACTGCGGGTGTTATAAAGTAAATGCATTTTAAACGCACTAATCTCAAAATCAAAAAAGAAACTTTAAAAAACACAAACTATATAAAAACAAATAAGATATGAACGAATAATGTATTCAATGCAAAGATAAGAGTTCATACAAATTAACATAAATAGTAAATAATGCTACTTTTATTACTATGTGAAAGGTGGGTGCAAGGATTCAACAATGGCACATTTAGATTTGTCGACAAGAAAACAACATGCTACACCTGTGGGAACTTTATTGTTTTCCTCGATATGGAAACTAAGTCGAGGAAGACTCTGCAGAGTCCTGGTTCTGGTATTGGGGCCTTTACAGCCAGTGGGCATAGCAGGTGTCTTGCCTTCTCTGACCTCAAACTCAATCCTTCCATCTTTGTCTACAACTATCCAGAGCTTGAGCAGGTGTGTAAACTGAAAGGTGAGTCAATTTTTTATATATATTTCCTTGAACAACAAGCCACTATAGCTGATTGTAGTTGCTCTTAAACTGTTTTAGTGCACACAAACTTTTATAAATGTATAAAAGTTACACTTTTAGTGCTTTTTCATGTTTTTAGGCACAACTAAACTGGGCTATACAGCTTTGGCGCTGTGTGACACTGGCCCTTATTTAGTCTGTGCTTCCTCCATGCCTGATCACACCATCTCATTATGGTAAAATGCATGTGTTATATTAGTCTGACGTTTGCTACAGCAATTATTTATATTTAGCCTTTTTTAATATAAAATTTTAATATCCACTATTTAGGAACTGGGAGAGCAGCGTTCTCCTTTGTAGCCATCCACTCTTGGGAGAGGACGTCACAGCATTGGTTTTTAACCCCATGAACTGGTGTCAAATTGGTGCTGTAAATTTGAGGTCCCTTACTATCTGGAATGTTGAAAGATGTGACGACTATCATTTGATGAAGCCTAGGTAGAGTGTTTCTCCAGCAGATGGCACTGTTATTTACACATGGATTTCATATGCCAACATTAGAATTAATGCACGGTGTTTATTTTACCCATTATACTTTCTTTATGTTTTCTTGGCAGTGCTGTCGATCTCCCCGCCGCCGATGGTTCAGTTACTGAGTGTGAAGCAAACCTGTCTTGTATGCTCAGTAGGAAGTTGACACACTTAGGTCCTCAGATGCCCATTTCAGCAATCGCTGGACTGAGTGGAGACAGAGCTGACGATTTTGTGGTATGGGTTGTTTCTCCAGTAGAGTGTTTTCTTATATATCAGTAGTTCTCCTGAAGTAACACTTTATTTTTTTGTCAGAGTCACAGCATAATAGAATTTGTCTGTCCCAACAGCCTTTGAAACAAATAAAACCAAAACTGTGTCCAAGTGCCATCTGCTGGTCAACTTCTTCTGACCTATATGTTGGTTCCAAGGAAGGTTTCCTGCTTTGTGTGGATCCTGACACTTTGCTTGTCTCTGTCCTATATAAACCTCAAACTGAATTAAATCCCACGGGTAAACTCATACTTGATACATATCAAATCAGAACATTTGAGGATTTCACATGTCAATTTTTTAACTAGTATGAATTTTAGACTTAATGTAGTTCCTCGTCTTCTTGAGAGCTTCATTTAATTGCACTTGTTGTAATTTTCCATTACAGATGACAGTAAAACATCCCTGCAGGAAGGCAGCTTCCAGAGCTTAGTAATACAAGACTGTAATGTTTTTGCTGCAGGAATGGTAAGAAATTGTATTTGTCATGACACTAATATGAGCCCTGAAACTACACATTAATCTGTTTTCAAGTGAGACATGATTTTAGCCCAATTCAAGAGCATTTCCAAACCTATTACAGGAAGGCATTTTACGAAACATACAAATTAAAGGAAACAAATTGGAGGTAGTGCAGACTTGGGCTTTGGAGGAGGCAGCCTCGTCTATATGCTTTCCCCCCGATGGTGAGACACTGCTGATAGTTTCTAATACAGTAAGTGTTTATATTTTATGATGTT